GGATCTAATACTACGATGTGATGAACGACGAAAAACAAGCCAAGAACAGCACATATACCAAGTATAATAAGAATATCGTTTTGTTCCTTATCATCTTTTTTTGCTTAAAAGAATCCCTATCCTCGCAACAAGGGCCCCATCAATTCATGACGACAAACCGCGGAGTTATTACACCACCCCGGATATTATACACATATTTCGAGTGGTGCGGAGAGAAAAGGAATACCCAAAGAAGAAAAGTAACCCCAATCCAATTCGGCAAATTCAAGAGAAAGATTTCTCATTCGAAATTCGAGAAAGGGATTCTCACAAGCAGAACTATCGTTTCACCACAGAGCCATCAAAATCAATCCATCCAATACATCCTACGCTGGGGGGTCTCCTGACATTACAAGCACGAAATCAGAAGTGAATGTCTGGAATGAAGCGGTCGTATTGACCCGAAAAGTGTTGGTCGCCCTCGCGGCGACGTTGCACGCACCTATGCAAATGTGGTTGGAAGGCAAACGAAATACGTTCCCGAAGTTCAAGCCCCCCCCCCCCGCCCCCCGACACTTAGCACCTTTTGTTGCCGAGGTGCGGCGCGCACTTGCCTAGGCTTCTCTCACTTCAGGCGCTGCCGCAGCTTCCTGGGAGCCGCTCTCGAATTCAGACGGCTGCATGCTTCAGCATGCCAGGTATAGAATAGGAGCCAAGCAATTACCAATATTACTACTGTTGCTATCATCAATCTGCTACTGCCACTGCTACCTGCTACCGCTCCTGCTCCTGCTGCTGCTCCTGCTGCTGCTACTACTCCTGCTATTGCTCCTGCTACTGCTCCATATATATATATATAATAGTCATGATGCGCTTCTTTTCTTGTTCTCGCTCATGTTCCTTCGCTTGCTTCCTTTTCAGATCATATTGTACCGTCCTTCAATGCTGCCTTTAAAGGCCCCTCTAAACCACTTGTAGTACGCGCCCAATGAGTAAAACTTTTAAGACTTACAATATTATTCACTTGGTAAAGATATGAAGGGCCCAACGGGGCCTCTAGACACTGTATCTCCGATTCTAAGCATTCTGGATGATGCTTTTACACTCTTTTAGTATTGCCATCATATCCGTGTCTTCATGATGGAGATATTTGGACCTTTCTTTGCGCACCAGGACATGCCATTCAACCGCTCCCACAACCTTTCCTGAGCGTGCCCATGGGCCTGAGAGCATTCTCCGCCGCCTGCAGCGTTCGCTCCACCTGCGCACGAGCTGGAGAAGGCTTCCGGGCCCAAACAGCAGCGTAGAGTTCAGGGTTTCGGGTTGAGGGTTTAGATTGGGTTGATGTGAAGTACTAGGTTGCCCAATCACCTAAGAATGGACAGGGTGTCCGTTCTTGCTTTCAGCCGTTAGGCTGGTAAAGGATCACTACTTATCCTAATCCTAAACAAAAAGCTTCAACTAGGGCTGAGGATGAATGAACTACACGAGATTCACAGCGGAAGGAGGTTTGGTCTAGCATCTTGCAAAAAGACAAAAGTGCGAGGCTCCTCGAAACCGGCCTAACTGTAGGGCTGGTGCCCTAGATCTTGAATTCCTAAAGCCGCTGAAGCCTCGAAACCCTAAACCCCGAAACTCAGCCCTCAACCCTATATCAACCAGTTGCTGCTTCTGACTGCATCCGGGTTTATAGCGCTTAGGGGCATGCCGTTTTGCATTGGAGGGCCGAGGGTTTGGTGTAAGGGGTCCGCGGTAAAGGTGCAGGGTCTAGCTAGGTCTTCAGGGTTCCAAAATTGCATCAAAGGGCCCACGTCCCGTCATCCAAACCCTAAACCCTGAACGATGTCCCTGTTTAGGGTACTTAGAACCCTACGTCTAAGTCCCCATACCTAATGTAGGGTTCCTATGACCCTACAACAATAAAAGTCCCCACAAGCCTCCAAGAACCTCCAAGTAGAGCTGGGGACAACACACTAGTGGCCCGGCCTGGTTAGACAACGACCCGACCTTGGATACTGTAACTGGGTTGGCCCTTAAAACCGTTCAAAAAGCAACCCTTAACCCTGAACCCTGAACCCTAAACCCCATGAGGGAAAATAGAACATATCCCAAGGGTCTACCTAGGTAAGTTGACTCCCGAAATCTGCTTAGCATGTAAAGTCAGGGCTTGGTGGGTCAAGGATTCAGGGGTTTACAGGGCACAGGGCTTGGGGGCATCGGGTCTAAGGTTTGGGTTTTGGGGCCCTAAGCCCTTGGGCCGAAAATTGCGGGTGGTTTACTGATACTAAACTGCAAACTAAGGTCTTTCGTTGACCCTCCGGATCACGCAAGCCTCCAAGCCATCACCAAACCTACCAAACGTCGGAGGCTTGTCGGGCTTAAGGACGTTAAGCCGTCCAAAGGCGCCCCGTGCGTAGGTGATATAACTTGCGGCTCCTTTTTGGGGTGCTCCACGGCTCTATGGTACGAAGCAATTTCAACCCGTGATCAATCACCGAAGCCGTTCCAAGTCTATTCGCGCGGGACCTGACGGGGAAAGTCTTGATGGGAGGGTAGTCTCCCCTCACTTGGAGGTTCATGGTACTTGTTACTGTAACCAGTGATAACTCTACTTATCACCCACCTCATAAGCCCCTTAAGTGCCCTGACATGGTTATAAGTACAGTTATAGTCCCTAACCCTAAACCCTAAGTTGGTTTATAAGCACCCTGAACCTCCAAGTAGGGTCTTCCCTTCGCCTTCAGGTGCGGCCGAGCAACGGAGAAGCCTCCAGCTCGTGGGCCATACGGAGACCTGCGGGGGAGAAGGCTTGAGTGCGGCTTAGGGTATCGGGCTTCGGACCCTAAACCCTACATCCTGAAGCCTGAACCCTAAACCCTAAACCCAGGGTCTAGGGTTTAAGGTTTCGGGTTGGTGTAGGGTTCACGTATCGTTGTTTCTTAAGCATCGGGCTGGGGGCTGGAGGTGTATCTAGGGGCTCCCCTAAGCCCTAAACCCTAAACTTCCTCAACTTCCTAAACCCCCATGTGCATGGGACCAAGGCGCCAGCGCGCCATTTGCGGTACCGCGCAAGTGCAAACCTTATGTTACATACTATAGGGGCCTTAAGAATTACAATAGGGTTTTGCGGAGTACTGTGGGGTTCATATGGTATTATTGCATAGGGATCATCAGGGGATACTTATGAGTAACAAAGCCAACCCATCCAGGGGGTCAACGCGCAGGAAAATACGCGGGAAAGTGCGCGCCTGTCACGCTGTCGCGACATGGAGCGTCCGCGCGCGCCCTACGAAAAGTTGGCACCCTAAACCTAAACCCTAAACTCTAAACCCCAAACCCCAAACCCTATATACCCTAAACCCGACATGCGCAGGGCCTAGAGCGAGAGTGCTCTCTGGCACTCTCCGCGAGGAGCACCAAAACAACTCCGGAGGCATGCCGGGAGGTTCATGGATGGGTACTTTAAAAGTATGTTTAGGGTTTAGGGTTTAGGGTTTAGGGTTTAGGGTTTAGGGTTTAGGGGGGTAAAGAAGTATGGTTATAAGTAGGGTAACTTTAGGGTACCTAGAACCCTACTTATAAGCGAACATGAACCTTCTCAAGTGCCAGCGCCAACGCTAAAAAAAAAGAGGCGCACCTTCGACCCAAAACGAGAGCCAACGTCCATGCCGGAGAAATGTCAGGGGCTCCGTGGTAAAGTTATCCCGATAATTGATCCCTGCACCCTTGCGCCCTGAACAGGACTCCAAGTTCAAAAGGGCATAGTATAATATAGGGGCCTTAGCAATTAAAATGGGATTTCGGGGCTAGTTTATTGATAAGAGAGCATAAGGGGATACGTGTAGGTTTTATAGGGTACCGGGATGAGGGGCACTGCCCAACAAGGCCTGTTCCTTTCCAGGGCAGACTGCACCGCCTGGCAGGACTGGACTTTAGGATCCCAAATCTACAGATAGCTACACCCTACAAGGCCCTAAGCTCTAAACCTTCAACACAAACCCCGAAGTCTAGGGTTTAGGGTTTAGGGTTTAGGGTTTAGGATTTTGGGTTAAGGCGGTTAGGGCACCCTCTGTAACCCATCCTTTGCAATTGGGAGCTGAGGGCGCTGTTGGGTTACTCAATAGTTAGTTCTAACCTCTGTAAAATCGCATCCCTTTCACACTACGGCTCAAAAGGTAGTCCGAGCATCTGTTTAATCAATACACTGACATTTAAATATCGTTTTCGTCGAGAAGCCCGTTGGCAGACTACTTTCCATTACGTGTGCTTTCGTATGGGCCAAAACCACAAAATCTAAAGAACATGTTTTCGGGGGGGCTCAAAAATCTGTCGCAGGCTTCTTTTGTTGCTTGCTGGGCTGCAGTTTGGATCAAAGCTACAGCACCTCAGGGATCTGCAGCCTATTGTTTTGTTTTAGTAGAGAATCAATACATTGCCATGGTCTTATTATTGCGGCGCCCTGCCTTTCTTATTGCGGTGGGGGGGGGGGGGAGCCCCGCTAATTAAACAGATGCTCGGATTACTATCCAAAACGGGCCAGCCTAGTCTTGTAGGGATGTGTTGAGGTTTAGGGTGTATGGCTGAGATTGTAGGGCCACCTGCCGGCCGCGAAAAAGTGCCCCAAACCCTAAACCCTAAACCCTAAACCCTAAACAGACCCTAAACCCTAAACCCTAAACCCTAAGCCTTGCAGCAAAACCCTGCTCCATCGCCCTTTGGGCGCCTCCGTGGCGGCCTCGATCTTGTCGGCGCTCTTCTCGCCGACCTGCAGGTACCTGGACTTGCATTCCTTTGGGGATTTTAGGTATGGGGGGTTTAGGGTTTAGGGTTTAGGGTTTAGGGTTTAGGGTTTAGGGTTTAGGGTGGCATGGGCTGGGCTGTTCTCCCTTCTACGAACAGTACCCCCCCTATTATCATTCCTACTTCGGAATGAGCAGTACCCCCTTATGGTCCTATAGAAGAAGGCCCCTATACTAAGGCTGTTCTAAAACCCTTAACCTCAACCCTTAACCCTAAGCCCCATACCTTGGGATGTTCCCCCTTATACTAACAGCCCTTCCCCGATATGAAGCCCTCTGAACCCTAAACAGCTTAAACGCCCACAAGCCCTCCCCCCCCCCCCCCCCAAAAAAAAAAAAAAAAAAAAAAAAAGCTAAGAAGATGGAAGGACTCGGCGTCCTAGTTCAACAAGGCCCACAACCCACACACAGAAGTTAGAACTGATTCCTCTGTAACCCTGCAGTTGAACTTTCGCTGGTCGGGGGGGAGTAGGGTTCAGAGGTTTAGGATTTAGGGTGGGTGTGGGGTTGGGCTTTAGGGTTCAGGGTTTAGGGGCTTAGACTTTTTCTATTCCTCTCCCCCCTCCCCCCCACCCCAGCCCCAACAAGGAACACACTCACCAAGAACAGTAATGTAAACCCGCCCTCGTGCCCCTCGTGCGGTCTAGGGCTTAGGGTTTGGGGTAGCTTCGGGCTTTGGGTTTAGCCCCCTTAAGCGAATGATCTCAGACCCGAGGTTCTTACAGGGCTTACCTGCTAAGGTTTGGGGTTTAGGGTTTAGGGTTTAGGGTTTAGGGTTTAGGGTTTAGGGGTTAGGGTTCAGGGTAAGCCCCTACAAACGCAAAAACTCCATGAACACCTTCAGCCTTCTCGCTTCATTGGGAGCATACTATCTAAACCCCAAACCCCCATCCTTAACCCCCTAAACCTTAAACCATTGAATCCCTAGACACGCAAACCCTTAAACCCTCAAACCCTCAAACCCTCAAACCCTCAAACCCTCAAACCCTCAAACCCTCAAACCCTCAAACCCTCAAACCCTTAAACCCTTAAACCCTTAAACCCTTAAACCCTTAAACCCTTAAACCCTTAAACCCTGATCCCTAAACCCTGGTTACACCTAAACGCCGACATGGCAAGCCCCTCATCGGCCTCCCGAGCATCTGTCGGGCCTTGGCGTGCCAATTGGGGTTGATAGGGCTCAGGGGGATTAGGGTGTTAGGGTTTGGGTGTGGGGTTTAGGGGGTTTAGGAGGTTTAGTGGGGTTTAGAGTTTAGAGGCTTGATGGTTTGTTCAGGGTGTGGTTCGGGTAGTCTGAAGGGTCCAGGTTTAGTACGGTTCAAAGCGAAGGACTTGGCACTAAACCCTTAACCACAGGCGTGTAGGCTAGGAAGGTGAATGCCTCACATGTCCAGCCCACCCTAAACCCTAAACCCTACACCCTAAACCCCAAATTCCTAAACCTAGCTGCAGAACTTAAGGATCAGGGCTTGGGGCCGTGAAGTCGCAATCAGGATTTAAGCTCCCAACCCTGATGCCCTGATGTCTATTAGTGTTTGGGGTTGGGGGTTTGGGGCTTGAGGTGCCAGTTTGTGGGCTTGTGGTGCCAGAAGGTTGCACGCTAAACCCCTGAGCCCTAAACCCTAACACCTCATTGATTCCTAGTAGGGGAGTGCGGAATTTGGGGGCCATCGTCCCTAAGCCCTGCGCCCTAATCAAGTAAGAGTCCCGAAGCCGCCACGTCAACACCCTGAAGCTGCGGGCTGAATAAACTCTACAAAGTTCTCCAACTCCTACCCTTCAAAAAAAGAGTTATACTTACAGTTATTGTCAGATGTTGTAGAACACTGGCATTATATATGTATAGAGACAAAGATAGATAGATACGTGGATACAGGCGTGTGTTTATGTATATATACATATGTATACACTCTTGATGGATTCCCCAGCCTTAATCGCTCGAGTGCTGTACCGTCGGCTTAAGGGTGGCAGTTGCAGCGAGAAGTGGGTGCGTACCAGAACTCTCAAAGCCTTTAGGTCTTGAAACCCTTGAAGCCGCCCCGGCCGGATTTCCGGCTTAGGGCTTAGGGCTTAAAGGCTTAGGGCTTAGGGCCCAAACCCGAACCTTACGCTGGTCTTCGCTGAGGCACTCGTGCATTTGGGATGGCCTCCAAGCGGGGAGCTGCGAAAACGCCTGCCCTGGCCAAAGGGGCACAGAGCTCAGGGGCTTTGGGGGGAGGGGGCGGGGGAGGGGGCCTAGGGGTTTAGGGCCAAGAGTTTTTAGGGTTTAGGGTTTCTGCCTAGGGTTTTTAGGGTTTATCGTGCTCGCAGGCTTTACAGGGTTTGTGGGTTCATGGCTCATAGGGTTTCTGGGTTTAGGGTGCAGGGTTTGGGGTTGAGCTATTGCGGGCCGAACCCCAAACCCAAAGAAAGGGCTTAGGGTTTGGGATGTTCCTCCTCATACTAACAGTCATTCATAGGGATTATAATAGGGGGTACTATAATCCCTTTTAAGGATTGTTCCTGCTTCGTAGAAGCTTTGGGGTTTGCGCTGAATACAAGAAACATATCCTCGCTGAATCCCTCAAAAAACTACGTGATGCCCACCCTAGTTACATAGGCCCCTGCGTTGTATTTCTGGCATTCTTTTCAAGGTTACCTATAACCCTAAACCCTAAACCCTATACCCTAAACTCCGGACAGATGCTGCAGTTTAGTCGGGGAGAGCTGACGCCAAGCACAATGGCACGACCAGGGCTCCCGGTATGCACGCACTAGGGTTTAGGGTTTAGGGTGTAGGGGTTTCCCTGATACCCCCGCGCCCCGAAACCCTGAACCCACGTGAAGCGTCCTGAGCACCCGCACCTCCGGAAGAAAGCGTAGGAGGTCGTTCCTGCCATCTGCGAGCTGCATTCCCCGTGACTACTTTTAACGGGAAGGAAAGATAAATCGTCCAGCCCCCAGGCCTTGGGGGTTTAAGGCTGGTTGCAGTGGCATCTGTCCCGGCACCCAACTGCCGAACCCTAAACCCTAAACCCTAGAACATGCGTGTCTTTGCTGCACCAAGTGCGCTTCATCAGCTGTACAGTTCGGCATCCACATAGCCAGCCAGTTCTCGAAGCCAGTGTCCTTTTCGGGGTACGGTACCCTAACTAAGGGTCCAGATTGTCAAAGGGACCCAAGAGGACTCTGATGTGGGGACTTGCCTGGCGTCGAGTGAACCCTCCCTTATTTAGTGCACAGCACGAGCCGTGCAACTAGGGCAACACACACATTGACTTGTCGTGGTCAAAAGTGCTGTGCACCAGAACGGAGAGCGAACACTGAGCAAGAAGCACTGCGACAGCTCGCGTGCACTCTGCACAGGTAGTTCGAATCCACCCCGGCAGTGTGTTTCCAGAACAGCTGTGGCAGCCATCTAAATCAAACCCTTGAGCCACGCTAAAGCCCCCGAAAGCCTTTATACCTCGTACTCAGCCACCCTTGGCCGCTTGAGCCCTAGGTCCACACACAAAAAAGTTCATCTACGAGAATCGGATGCGAAGCTACGAAGCACTGCGACAGTTCGCGTGCGTTCTGCAAGTGGTGATTCAGGCGCTGAGAGTTTCCACATGGGATATTGTTCTGCATCAGTGTCCCCTTGCCAAAAGGAGGCCCCTCCCTTCTAACAAACATGCAAACTTAAAACATCTCCCACATGGACCTTACAAGCTCGCAGGACGTCAGTCGGTATATTCCCCGGGAGCAGTGTCCGGGACATGGCTCACCTCGTCTGCGTTCTGATCCTGACGCATTGCAGGTTTAAACTGTTTAGGGCGACAAGGATAACCTTTAGGTCATGGGGGTCGGTGGCGATTTCCCAAGCAAGCCAAAACAAAAAGTTGCCTAAACTTCGCATCTAAGGTGCAGGAGTCTGCACGTACGGCGTTTGGGATTGATTCTTCATGCCACCGCGGCGGGTGGGTTTGATAGTCAGGCCCCTGGTGAGAATCACCGACGGCGCTGGCATGAACACAGCGACAGGCAGATCTGGACTGAAAGTGATGGCAATAACATCGGCCGCATCTTCCATCACCGTGTCGATTGCGATAAGCTTCTTGGCCAGGTGACCCGTGCACAACACAAAGTCTCCGACCTTCAGCTCCCCGGCTTTGACGGCCAAAGGCTCCCCTCCGAAATTGGGGGTCATGACACGATGGCTAGGGGTTGTCTTGAAAGCCTCCGTGCCATCCGCGTGCAAGACAACAAAACTGGATGCCCTTTGCTGCTGGATGCGGATGACCTCAAGCTGCGTCACCTCATCCGCTGCAAGCACGCGCGAGCCCTTGACGAGCTCTTGCGCATACATGTAGAAGGTCTTTGCGTCCGCCTGGCGGAAGAGCATGGTCGGAAGGAAACAATGCGGGCCAGTTGCAGATAGCCAGGATGTGGAGGAAGTGCACGAGACCGCTGATTCCACCTCATTCTGTGATCCTGCACCTCCCGCCTGCGAAGCTACAAACGTGGCATCTGTGGCTTGCGATGCCAGCAAAGACGCCGAGTCGGCGACCTCCATGACCACCGGGGTGTGCGGCCCAAAAGGTGTTGCAAGAAGCTTGGTCACCTGATCTCCCAAATCCGTCAGCTGTGGCGCAAGGTGCTCGTTGGGGCTCTTGGATCCACATGTGTGATGCTTTCCGCAACTCCAGTTGGGGGAGTAGATGTGCAGACCGCAGTTGGACGCATGATTTGTTCCATTTCCGGGAGCCAAATGCGGGTGTCCCTTGCGAAAGCACTCGCGATGACCGCTGCAACCTAGGCATCTCAAATCACATTCATAACGTTTGATGCATTTGGTCTGGAACTTTTCCCGGACCTGCACCAGAGTCTTGATCACCATTTCGCCAAGGATGAACTTGTTGTACGAGATATCGCTTTCATGGCTCATCTCTTTGCGACAGCTTGAGATCAAGTCGTCCAATGCCTTGCCGGCTTTAACGTCGCAGTTCGTCTGGCACACATGTCCAAAGCAACGTCCTGTGTCATCCACAGCCCCGCAGTTCCCGGCATGAAAGGATTTGTAGGAATTGTGGCCGCGGCCATATTCCAATAGTCGGCCACACTCGCGATGCCCACTGCAGAAGCAGCGCAATCTGCAGTCCCACGTATTGCTGCAGCGCGTCTGGCTGATCTCCACCACAACCTGGCAGAGAACCTTTGGAATGTTGACCCACACCGAGTCCATGGCACGGCAGCAACCGAGCACCGACTGACTAACGTCCGTCGCTTGTAGCCTTCCCCTGAGCCGACTCAGGGACAGCAACAAGAGACTTGTCGCTGCAGTATTGCAGAGTCCAGACCGTGTTCTGACTTCAGACAAGCAGCTGAGCCACCTCTCCCTACTGCAAGATGATGAGGATGGGTGCTGCCTTAAGACCCCCAAAAATCCTTGGGCTCTAGAACCCCACAACATACAGCAACATACGTTCCCCGATGACTACAGCCCCAGGGCCGAAGGCTTTGAGTGGGTGGAGCGTTTAGGCCCAGGGATGCTCAGCCTAAGCCCTTCGATCTTTAGTTTGGGGGGGGGGGGGCCCACCCAAAACCGGAGGGAAGCCCAGTCTTCAAGCCTGTGGATGGCTATGCTTGGGTTTAGGGTTTAGGGTTTAGGGTTTAGGGTTCAGGGTTCAAGGTTCAGGGTTTAGGGTTTAGGGTTTAGGGTTTAGGGTTTAGGGTTTAGGGTTTAGGGTTTACAGTGCCCCGCATGCCACGGCAGAGACCCACCGCCCGACGCGTCCCTGGGAACCCTCCCGTAGCCTGCGCAAGATGAGAAAGCGCCTTAGTATGTAAACCCTGAACCCTAAACCCTAAACCCTAAACCCCAAACCCCAAACCCTAAGGGTGGCCGTGTTGCCCATCTTCCTGCCTCGCCTCCACAAGACTCACGGGGCTTCTGTTAGAGCTTACCCTAAACCCTAAACCCTAAACCCTAAACCCTAAACCCTAAACCCTAAACCCTAAACTGACGAGCCGGCGCCTATCCATGCATCGACCAGGATCTGCAGCAGCCTCAGGTGGGATCCTAAACCCTCGGAAATTTAGGGTTTAGGGGTTTAGGGTTTAGGGGGCTTGGGGGCTCAGGGGTTTAGGGTTTAGGGTTTAGGGTTTAGGGTGTAGGGTTTAGGGCTTAACCTCGAAACCCTAAACGCTCAAAACGCATCTGAGGGGCGCGGTGGCTTCAGGGAGTTGAACAACCCAAGAAAGCTCAGACCCTTAGACAGTGCCTCTTATTCGATAAAGTAACTGAAAAGAAAAACATACCCCGACAGGCTATGAATCCTGGAAGGGTCTGTGATTTAGGGTTTTTGGTAACCCCCCCCCCCCCCCCCCCCCCCCCAAAAAAAAAAAGCCTCTCACCTCCAGCCCGCATGGCGAAGCAAGCCCTAAAACCTGAAACAAAAAGCCAACAGAACCCTAAACCATTGCCCTAAACCCTGAGCCCCTAAAGCACTCCTGAACCGTAAATGACACCGAAGCCCAAACACCCCATATCCTAAACCTCTTACAAGAAGGCCCCCCTAGTTATAAGTAGAGTTGTAAGGACCAAAAATGCGGTTATCAGGATCCGGTCTTGGGTTCTAAGTCCCTCACATATAGTTAGTATATAGTTAGTATAGTAAGGGGGGCCCTACAAGGGGCCTAGGGGTCTAGGGGTCTAAAACCCCCAATAACGCCCTGAAGGCCTGAACCCTATCCGAACAAACAAACCAGAAATCCCTGCATCCCCGAGTCCTGAAGCCCTGAAGCCCTAACTCCCAAGCCTTTCCTAAACCCTAAACCCTAAATCATAAATCATAAACCCTAAACCCCAAACCCTAAACCCTAAACCTTAAACCCTACTTAGGCTCTGGCCCCATGGGATGGGCGCGGCACGGGTGGTGGCGCTTTGGCGCGACGAGGGCTTCAGCGGGAATTGGGGATTGGGAGATTCGGTTTGGGGATTAGGGTTTTGTTTTGGGGTTTAGGGTTTAGGGTTATTTTGGGGTGCAGGGTTCGGGTTTTCATGTGTTCAGGGAGTCTTAGGTTGGATCTTGTGGGGTTTAAGGCTGGGGTGCCTGGGGGCGAAGGGCTTGGCCAACGGGCTTCGAGTTGGATTCAGGATTCCAGGATCCCCAATCTTAATTGGAGGTTCAGGGTCTAGGTCCCTTGTGCCCGCAAAGGAGGTTAGTAAGTAGACTTGTGCTTGGGGTGATAAGTTTGCGTGAACCTCCAAGTAGAGCCATTCAGGTGATGCAAAACGTCAGTCCCGAAGCCTTATGCTAGGTCCGCCGCATCGGTATGTGGCAGGGGTCCGGCATAGACCACACCAAGCACAAAAATAAACTGAAATGCGCAACACCACCCAATAACAGCAATTGCAACAACAACAGCAGAAACAATAACTATAGAAGTACCAGGTACATATACATATATATATATATATACATATATATATCTATATATATATATACATACATACAGTCAAAAATATGTACACACACAAACATAGCAAACATGGGAAACAAAAGGACACATTGATGCCGGCTAGTTTCATTCCTATTGTACGAACAGGGCGACGACGATGACGATGGCGATGGCGTGAGCATGAGGATCATGGTGCTGATTCTGGTAGTGAGGGTAGTTATCCTGGACTCCCCTGCGCATGCATGCTGTGTACCCAGAACTCATACATGTACAGAGCCACAGACTACAAAGTCGCGCCTGCAGCTACGGATCTCGAATCACACCAAGGCATGAACATGCGCAGGGCTCAAAAGGCACACGCCCCATGCGGCGGAGTGGATCTAGTAGCTAGTATATAGGCCCTTATGGTACCCTAAACTATGATGGAATAATATATACGTTGGGCTTAGAGTGTGTCATGTAGTGGAGACGCCGTACTCCACCTTACCAATTTCTCCACACTCTGTGGCGAACAGAAGGTGGTCGGCTGGAAGGTACAACTTGTGGAACCCCCTTCTAGGCTGCCCAGTAACTCATGAAGGGCGCACTTTGTCGCGTTAATTAAGGGGTCTATCACGGATCTATCAGTGATCCTGAAAGGGAACAGAGGCACGACTGGGCATCCTTACATTGTAAATTGACACTTCAGCGCATTAGCGTTGATGAGCTGCTTTGTACCACTGGCTGGTGTGAGACATCTCGTTTGGCTACGAAGAAACTCTTCTTGCACACTTGTGCCGAGGGTGGTCAACATGTGAGTGAATGGGGGGTTAGGGTTTAGGGTTTAGGGTTTAGGGCTTAGGGCTTAGGGTTTAGGGTTTAGGGTTTAGGGTTTAGGGTGAGGGAGGGGGGTTCAGATGATCCACTTAGGAAAATATATAAATATCCCAGGGGCCTACCTAGTTTGCTTGCAGACGCCTGCGGGGAGCTCTTCACCCTGCCGAAAACAGCCGGGTCGCCGCTGCTCACAGTTAGGGTTTAGGGCTTTAGGGTTTAGGGTTAGGGTTTAGGGTTGAGGGTTTAGGGTTTAGGGTTTAGGGTTCGGGTTTATACGGGTTCAGAGTTTAGAGCTTCAGTTCCAGGAATCTGGTGAAGAAAAGCGGGTGCCCTTCTCTTGTCTGAAGAGGTTGTTAGGTTTAAAAAACGGTGCCTCTTCTTTTGCGCTTAGTACAAACCCGAACCCTAACACATGCACAAGGGTACCTCCGACCGACCGTAAGGATAAGGGACAAGGGTCTACGCCAAACCCAAGATGATCTTCGTATCCTGACGATGTGTATGTGTTGTACGTCTTCTCTCCTACTTTGGGGATTTGCTGGGGTTAAGGGTTTCGGCTTTAGGCGCTTCTCTTCGCTGCTTCCTCTGTGATTTCGGACGGGTTTATCAAGCCATCTCCATCAGTAGTGTCTGAACGCCAAGGGGAAACACACGGGCAAACCATAAACCCTAAACTTGGGATGTTCCCCCTTATACTAACAGTCCTTTATAGGGATTATAGCACCCGTATGATAATCCCTATCAAGGACTGCTAGTACAAGGGGAGACCATCCCAACCCTAAGCCTTAAAGTCCTACACCCCAAGATCGCTCTAAGCCCCAACGAAGCCCCAAGAGCCTGGTGCAGCCTGGAAAACTGGCGCTTGCGCCTTACGCGCCCCTGCGGGCGACCCGAGGGCGCATTTATGGCTTCGATGCGCTCCGCTTGGGGCTCAGCGAACTCCGGCTACGAGGCGGAAGCACGTGCCCGGCAGAGGCCTTTCGAGGGGATGCCCGCGACCTCGGCAAGCAGAGGAGGGCTTTGGGGGGTTGGGAGGCTTTTGAGGCTGTTTTTTGTAATCGGGGTTTTGGGGAGTTTCAAGGGTTTTCAGGGAGTTTTGGCAGCTGTCCCTTGCCCCCTCTCCCCCCCCCCCCCCCCCCCCGAAACCCTAACCCTGAACCACTAAACCGCTAAACTTCACTAAGTCACTCAACCCTTAACCCTAAACCCTGAACCCCAAGCGCGAGCCCTTCTCAGGAGACAGCTCGACTCCGTCGAGCCTGCGCAGAATGTCGGCAAAGGGCAGTTGCTGCGCTGGTGGCACAACAACACCTTTTGGGGGGACTGCAAAAGGTGGCATCAGTGCCCCGACGCATGAATGTTCAGCCGTTCCGTAAGACGCCTGATCCATGGTTCAAGTCCAGAAAGATAAGCACCCAGTTGCTATACATACTCACTGAAACACTTCCATTTGTGCTGCAAGAGTTCTACCTCTGCTGCTGCTCTCTGCTGCTGCCGCTACATTCCTGATCTCGCGGCCGTCAAGCATTTTCTGAGAAAAAAACATGGATGTGGCACGAGAGCTACACAGCGGCGATCAAGGTAGCACAGGTTTCTACTCTCGGCTTCACATGTCCCAAAACCACAGAAATATAGGGGCCTGAATCATCAGAATACGGTCATGGGGGGGGGGGGGTTATTATAGTATAGTTACAAAGGGACCACAAGGGAATATGTATATATATGTATATCTATGTATGTATAATATGTAATTATTCCGACCCTAGAGTATCTCGCAATAGTTGCGCTGCAACATGGCCTTCCTGCTCCCTTGCCACTAGCGCCACTGGCTTCTCGATGATTTGGCAGTGCTTCTCTTTGCTAGGCCCTGAAGCCCAAACCTAAAACGAAACCTAACCCCTGAACCCTAAAACTAAAGAAGCCTAAGCCTTAGTTGCTGAGTTCATCAGCCCCCCAAAAAATGTA